AGGTCATTGGGGGGAGGAGGGCTAAAATTTATTTGCCTTCCCTTTCATTCTGAGCTTTCAATATGGGTATCCTTTCTGGGCTGAGCTGAAATTCCAGGGATTTGTCCATAGTAGGACACTTGAAATCCCAACTGGCAGTCTCCTTGTCCCATGTTTTTGTTTTGGAATTGGCTGCTTCTTTTATGTCAAAGCTACTGTGTCTTTAACATCGATACTAGAAGAAGGAATACCACAGGTACATCTTGATATCCATATGGGAAGTAGAGTAGTTTAATTTCTGACTACTGGTGATGAATGACATGAGAATCAAGCGCTGTGGCTTAATATTTTCCTTCTAAACAGATTATACTTTTGATTAAGATGTCCCTTTTTTTAAAAAAAATCCTTACTGTCACTGGAATGGTTAACTCATATATTGTGGTTTTTTCTTCACCGAGGTGGGCTATACCACCTCTAATTTCAAATATTTTTCTCCTCTCTCCATGCACCCAAACATCCTTTTTCCTCCCTACCTTCTTCCTCCAGGGGCCAAGAAAGATGCTTAGACAGTATGTATAGTTTTCTTTCAAAGTTTAATCATTTTTTGTTTTGGATTGTGGCTGTATCGATTTTTTTTTCTTCCTGATATTCTATGTGTTTATTGTTCTAAAGCAACCCACCTTGGGAAGGATTTGGTCTGAAAGGCAATGTATCAATATTTTAAAAAGATAACCATTCTGTCTGTATTATTTATTACGTTATCTGTAGATCGGCTATATAAGTGGACCCAGGTTGCTATGCTTAATGGGAGAGCACAAGAAACAATGTGGACCTTCTCCAATCAAGAGTCTGATATATGCTTTGAATTTTTTGGTCCCCAGAACTCCTACCTAAAATGGAAGTTGAAATCAAAACATCTGGAGAACACTCAGGGGCAGACTGTATCTAATTTGGGAGGAAGATCAAAGCCTTGAATGAAAATATTGAAATCTAAAGATCATTGCCTCTAGCTTCACCCCTTTATGCTGTAGTCTTTCTATTTTTCCAAATGCCAAGTTCTTTCTGATGTAATCTATTGCCAATTATTGCATGGAGTATATATCAGAAGGGGCTGAACCCAATCCCCCTCCCTTCCTCTCTTACATACACATTCACACACTATCCTTTCTCTCAAGAAGTAGGCTTTGGAGGCCAGCAGGATAGAAACAGTAGCTCTTATTAGAGGTCTGGATTGTTCCCTGGCCATGGATGTTTCAGATTGAGCAAAGGGCTACAGATAAGCCACTTCTTATGGTGTCTGGTGTCAACAGACTTGAGTTCAGTGAATCAATAGCCTGATTCATCAAAGGACAACTTCCTATATTTCTGTAGGAGAAAACCTGTCTTACTACAATCATTAAGGGCTTTCTCAACTAAGCCTGCCCTTCACATTAGACTTAGATGTTATGGAGGAAAGTTGTGTACTTGTTAATATTTCAGAACGAGGAATGTGGATCTAGTTAAGTCAATGTGCTTTGCATAGCACAATGTGCTCAGACTCTAATGCACATTCTTCTCTGAAACCCTAGAAAGATAATCTTCATGTAGCTGCAGCTGAACAAGACAAACAGGTCAGGATCATTTTAAATTTATTAAATTTACAGCAAGGAATTACAGCAAAGAAGGGGAGACTGTTTTGAGACTCCTTACACCCACCAGACAGTCAGTTGGTTAAGTGCCCACAATGTGCTTCCTGAAGTCTAAACATGTCTATAAATCAGAAATAGCAGGGATAGTTAACCCATTTCAGCCTAGGTTACAAGTCTTCTTTCTTACCTCTTGGAGGCCTCAGGAGATGTGCCTGATGGCATTGAGGCACCATTGAAAAGGACAGGGCCAAATGTTCAGAACTTCTTTTATTAATTCGGATAGGTTTGCAGATTATAAGATATAATTCCGGTATCCATCATACATGAACCTTACTAGAGTAACTTCTCCAGCATCCCAAATATATAGACAAACCTGTGCACTGATAATCTAACTTTTATTTTATCAATTTTTATATGTAATGGTTATTTCCGCAGTGTTGATGATCATTAGAATGCTTTTAAGCAAACATTTTCTTCCTATTAATACAAATAGCAACTTCGGCTATGAAACAAAAATTTTGGAAAAAAAAATCAAAATTATTTTGAGATGTTCATACCTTTCTTACCATCTCTCTTGTTTAGCAACCCTTCAAAGCTACAAACATTGAATAAAAAAGTAACTTTGCAACTAATGCTCACATTTACAACCATGTCAGTGTCCTGCAGTTACATGGTCACTTTTTGCAAGTTCCATGACCAAATACCAACAAGCAGAATTAATAGATAATGTGGAAGAGAAATGGAAGTCAGTCACATGATGTCCTGCTTAACAACACCATTGATTCACTTACTGACAGAAGCAGAAGTGACATCAGTCTGGGACAGTCACATTTTTTTGTTTGTTTGTTTGCTTTTTGCTTAGTGACTATGGCACTTAGCAATGGAATTGCTGATTCCAATTGTGGTCAGTAAGCAAGGACTACAGCTGCATGAAAGATAGAGAAAATTCCTTGACAGGATAGTTAGTCCTTTGTATTAGACTGTCTTTTAAAAAAAGTGGATGCAAATAGTCCTCCATTTACAGCCTTTCATTTAGTGACCTTTCAAAGTTATAACTGTACTGAAAAAAGTGATCTATGACTGTTTTTCACACTTGCAACCATTACAGTATCTCCATGGTCATATGATAAAAATTTGGATGCTTGGCAACTGGTTTATATTTATGACAGTTGCAGTACCTTGGGGTCATATGATTGCCTTTTTTGACTTTCTGACAAACAAAACCAATAGGAAAACCAAATTCATTTAACAACCATGTTACTAAACAATTGCAGTGATTAACAACTGAGGTAAGAAATGTCCCATAAAATGGGACAAAACTCACTTAACAACTATTTTGCTTAGTAGTGGAAAATGTGGGCTCGATTGTGATTGTATCCTACCTGTGGACAATGCAGTGGTGGGTTTCCCCCGGTTCGCACCAGTTCTATAGAACCGGTAGTAAAACCGGCAGGAGGCTCCGCCCACTGACCCCAACGTCATCACAACGCTTCTGCGCATACGCAGAAGCTTCTGCGCATGTGCGCGGCTCCATTGTGAACCGGTAAGTAGAACCCACCCCAGGGACAACGTGTATACAGATTCTCCCTCCTAAATATTTTAACTTTCCGCTTATGACTGGTGGCCTTAATATTTTACATTGAAAAGGTATGTTGGTGTATATGTGTTTGTGGGAAATAGCTGTGTGGAGAAACTGAATGCGCAATCAGCATTTCTTATCAATTAACGGTATTTCTTACTATTTAATGAGGGAATTGCTTTGTTTCTGGTCATGTTTATTTTCTATGCATGTTTTTCTAAAAGTTGTTTGATTGTTATTGGGTTGGGTTTTTAGTTATATAAAGTTGCATAGATTTTGAAAGCGAAAGAAAACTATTTTAAGCAGTAAGATCTCTGAAAACTTAGAGACTGCCTTTTTTCTCAGAGTTTTAAAACATGGAGAGTCAGTGCATTACAGTTGGGTTAGAAAGAGAACTTGTGGTTCCGAGATATTTTTGGATTCCTATAAATTCCAACCAGGAGGGAATATTTATCAAGGATCAGAAGGAATTATAGTCCAACAATGTAGAAGACCATTTCTATGGCAATCACCTATTTTGCCAATCATATAAATATTACTGATTATCCTTTAAAGCAGGGTTCTCCAACCTTGGCAACTTTAAGACTTGTGGACTTCAACTCCCAGAATTCCTCATGCTAGCTGGGGAATTCTGGGAGTTAAAGTCCACAAGTCTTAAAGTTGCCAAGGTTGGAGACCCCGCTTTAAAAGAAAAGGGTTCTAACTGATGACCAAAATGAAGTGAGTGCTGAGGGCAGTTCCTGAGAATATTTTGGCAGGAAAAAATGTTCTTAAATCAGGCCGCCAGCCAAAAATGCTCTTTTCCAGAAGCTTTGCAGAAATGTCTAATAGAACTCTTATCACAGGGCTCAAAATAGAGATATGTAATTTGGTGCTGGCCAGATGTTTTGGACTAAAATTTCCAAACTTTGAGTAAGGATGCCTGATATAAAGGGTTACAGAAGATATATCCAAAATACTGAAAATATGTACACAGAAAGGTGACTTTGACAGAGAGAGAGGCCAGATTTGTTACCAAAAAAAAGAAGGGAAATCATGGTTTAAACAGGGAGAAGGAATACATAAGCTGCTCAGGCAGACACCTTCTTAATTCACATGAATATAATAGGAGGGTGGGGAATAAAACACAATCAAATGTGTGAGATTCTGTTATTATAAAGCAGCCTATCTGTTTCTTGATCTGGTTTACATTGTGGTGTTGACAAGAATAAAGGCGAGGAGGGAGGCACATTCAAAGTTGTAGGATTCTGTTTTTGTAACCCTATAAAAAAGTAGTTTTAGTGTTCATGACTTTGGGCTCAAGTTTGATCTATCTTGAAGGATTGACATCAATCTTGCAACTCCCACCACCATCTCCACTTCCCTGCCTTTATTCTAAAGAGAACTAGGTCAGTTCTTTGGGGTTCATTGCTTTCTCAGATTCAATTCCTGATTTGGGGTGAGATATTTTTTACCTAACCATTGCCTTGGCTGTGCCTTTTTCTCCTCTTCTTCAAGGTTATTCTCAAAGTCCTACCCTAATCTCATACCTGATATAGCTGCTGGCAGAATTGAAAATAATACAGTATGTTGTATTGCCAGAATACAGCAAATCATAGTATCTTTTCTAACACTTTTCTACATATACGTGTGTGGGTATGCATGAAGTGGGCTTCTGTTTCAGCCCTCTTCCCAATTTGAGATCTGCAATGCAAGATGTGGTCCAGGCACAGCTGGCAAAAGGCTGTCCAGCCTCTAATTCAATAATTTCAGTGAAGGTTTTCTTTTAACTAAGGATCTGAAATCATTCCATTTCTTTTCCCATCTTCTCATAGGAAAAAGCAGACCTTGGGGAGCTGAATTTTTCCCTCTGTTATCTGCCCACCGCTGGTCGTCTCACGGTTACCATCATTAAGGCTACCAACCTCAAAGCCATGGACCTGACTGGATTTTCTGGTGAGCAGATCTGACAAAGTTTGGGTCATGATCAGTAGTTCCTGAAGCAAAATAGCTAGGCCATTGGCAGTGGAGCAGTAACTTTGACTTAGAAGGAGGCTATCGGGAAAAAGGACAGTAAAATGAGATTAAAAAGCTAAATACCAGAATTCAAGTGTTGGAGGACTGTCAGTTAGACACGGTGTGCAGGAGAAAACAGAAGAAAAATTAGAATGTACGAATATATGTTTACAGTTTGCTATAAACTGGTAAAACATCCTGACTCCAGATTATTTTAAAAGTAGTAAAAAAACGTACAGAAATTGACTTCTCCCTGATCTTTTCCCTTTTTTTCTATCCTAAATTGGACTGCACAAAAAAAGGAACTTTGCGGGGATGGAAGATGCGGCTATGGGATTTTATGTGAAAGAATTTGCACAACAAAACAGTTTTTTACGTTTAATGTTCTTGGTTTTGAAAAATGCAGATAACATTTATGTGGGGGAGTCTTAAGAGATGAATCTCATAACCAGGAAGGGAGAGTTTAACTTTTTCTTACCTCTACTAGAGTCTGTCTGACTTCCCCTGCTTTGAACCATGCTAAAAGCAAAATCATGCTTTTAACACAACATGTCTTTGGGCCTCTGTTCTCTTGCTAAAACAAATTCATGAGTGCAGTGTGTTTCTAAGGTATGCTGCCCACATGAAGACACATTTATTTGCACTTGGGCCTGGTTCGTTTATTTTAAAGTTTTGGTAAATTGGAATCCTATTCTTTATGAATTTGGAGATAGGATGGCAGCAAAGAATGAAAGGCGAAACTTCTGGGTATGTGTTGACTTCACAGAAGCCTAGGATTTAACGAGGGGATTCAAATATAGGTAAGAATTTGAGGTCAGTCAGAAGTAAGAACATTGCCCTGGGAGGACTGGCAATCTAATTCCCTGCAGATCTTTGGGATGTATCTCCTAAGACTGGATCTTTGCCATACTGTTTAGGGTGGTTGAAAGCTCAAATGCGAGACCTCTAGAGAGCATCAGGTTCCTTATCCCTGCCATCAGCAAAGGAGGCAGCATTTAGAATGAGGGCAGAGAAAGCAGCAAAAGGGGTTACTGAGAAGGAAACAAGATGAGTGTAAGATGGATCCCGTTATGCTTCATTGCTATTACAAGGACATAGTTCAGCTTCAAATGAGCAAATCTGTCAATTTTTGTTTCATTCGGCATCTCTTTTTTACCATATTAATTATGTTTGGCCTGTTTTCCCAGCAGTTTGTAAATGCTGTTGTTTATTTCTCCTAATAAATATTTTCTTATATGTGATTTTTCTAGAATATTTTTGCATATATATATATTTTTCTAATAGGCTTTTCCTAACATATGCTTTTTTCTATGCACATTGTTCCTTAAGCTGTGCCTTTTGCACATTTTTTTTAAAGTTGTAATTTGCATTCTGTGTGAGCTGGGGTTTATTTTTGGTTTCCTTGTACATTTGGGAATGATGAACTCAATCAGTTTGCATAAACATTCAGACAGAGTGAATTTTTCTACTGCCTCTAGTTAGGGATATACATCTCAGTGACAGTTGTCATGTTTGTGATCTGGAGGATGCTTCTTAACAGATAATGCCAAGTCAGTTTTGATAAATTGATCTTGGTGTTTATGATGACAATCAGAGCTCAATCCACTATGGAAGGGGTGAGGGAGGAAAGGAAGGACTTGCAGTTATAAATGACCAGGAGAGAGAGGGAATTTCTCAAAGCAAGCCCGGCTTTTATGGATGTTGGTAGTTAAAAAACTGCAGAATCTGTTCTGTAGTGGTAAACTTCCTATATAATCTGGAATTGCAGTTCGGTTTGGTGGGCACAGCCTCACTTATATCTATGATAAAGCTTCTGCCAAAGAAAACAGCTTGGTTTATGTGACTGGTCTATTGTGGGGGCAGGGCCAGCCTGAAACATTTTGCTATCTGGTATTTTGCTGATTACATGGAAAGTTTGTGAAATAGTAGGTCATTAGGGAAAAAAAGGTTATATATAGCCCAGCCTATTTCCTATAATGCTACTTTTCTGCTTGTGGCAATTGCATCATAAAGGGATTCTGAATTGTGATTAGCCTCCTTGCAAGTTCTGCCATGCCATTCTCCTGCAAATGGTTTTGGACCTTATGATACTTTGTAGTGGACAGCATCTGTTCTCACTAAGCACTTACAAACAGTTCCCACAACCATGAAAACCTCATTCAAATACCATTGGGAAAGATTCCTCTCAGTGCTTAATCAGGAAGTCTAAACTCCTTGAACTCAAAGGAATAAAAATTACAGTGATCAGAAACGAGATGGGGCAAAATGTTAAAGACAGAGAGGCTACAGGTAACAGTAACAGAGTTGGAGGTTATCTAGTTCAATCCCCTGCTCATGTGGTGAAATCCAGCTAGATCTATTCGGCTTGCATGAACCAGTAGCACTGGTGGTGGGAGGCTCCGCCCATCCTCCGGGACGTCATTACGTCCCGTTTTTTACCCATTCTGTGCATGCACAGAAGAGGCACAGGCACTCCCATTCCTGAACCGGTAGCGAAGGTAAGTGGATTTCACCGCTGGCAGGAGACCTGTACTAGGGATTCGAACTGCCAAACTACAGGTGATGGCTCTTGGTATAAATTTGGCTTGGCTTCTTCCCCTGTAAACCTGGACCGCTTTTCTCTATCTTTTGCCTGTATCTTTTCAGATCCCTATGTCAAAGCATCCCTCATGTGTGAAGGGAGGCGCTTGAAGAAGCGTAAGACTTCCATCAAGAAAAACACTTTGAACCCCAGTTACAATGAGGCTCTTGTCTTTGACATTCCCCAGGACAGCATGGAGCATGTCAGCATTACCTTGGCAGTCATGGATTATGATTGGTAAGATATATCATATCCACCCAAATTCCGGTGAGTTAAACAGAAGAGGTATGATTTAAAGGGCTTTTCCAGGGACTTCAGTGCTGGCTGGGCCTTTAGACTTCTTTCCCCCTTTGGACAAAAGTCATTTCAGCCAATGATGACTTAGCACTTTCCTTGATTCTACTTTCAGTGAAAGAATCCTGTCTTTAAGATACTGGAGAATTTTGGGGCACAACATGCAAGATGGAGACACAGAGTAGGATGTCTTGGGGAGGGATATTGGCAACTCTTACCAGCCATGGATGCTGTTGCACAATTTCATAGAACGGTGTGAATTTATCCCCCCCCAATCATTAAAGCCTTGTGAAAACCCACAAAATAACATTGAAATGTCAGGGCATTCAGATTATTTGATTTGGTATATCTTGTTAAGTCAAATGCTGTGTTGCTAGTTCACAGGTTAGTAAAGAATAGTGCAAAAAAAAAAATCTTCTGGAATTATATTGAAAACTACTAGAGAATGAATACAGCCCAGCAGGACTTCATTTTACTTTTTCTAACGAAGATGCAGTGGGTGGAACTTAGAGACAAGATTGTTCCACACTTTCTGACAAATAGAGAGTTATGCACTGAGGACAATCCTGAATTGCAATCCTTGCCCAATTTGGGCATCCTTCAGTTATATGGCTTTGAACCCTTGACATGACCTCATTTCCGTAGTTATGCTGGCCTGGAAAATCTGGAAATTTATATTCTCACCTCTGGAAGGTGACAAGGAAGTGAGCTGTTGTCTGGCTGTTTTTATGAATGAATGTGGCATAGTCAGCCTTCCCTAAGTTGTAAATTTTTTCAACGCTGGAAGTTTTTAAGAAGAGATTGGACAACCATTTGTCTGAAATGGCATAGGACTTCCTGCCTGAGCAGGGGGTTGACTAGACTTCCAAGGTCCCTTCCTACTCTACTCTACTCTACTCTACTCTACTCTACTCTACTCTACTCTACTCTACTCTACTCTACTCTACTCTACTTTACTCTACTTTACTCTACTCTATTCTATTCTATTCTATTTTGGCAGGTGGGACCTTATGATGCAATACATATGAAGAGAAGTAGATTAGCAGGATAAGGGTACTTAAATACTAGTGTTTAAATATTCCACATGCACTTTTGCTGCAGAAATGGAAAAAAAAAAAAACCCTGATGCACACTTTGTTAGAATAAAATCAGCTTTGTTTAAATATCCATTTCAAACCCCACCCCAAACTTCTTAAATTGATTTTAGATGCTAAAATAGAATATGATCTAAATAAGGTTAAAACATAGCATTTTTAGGGGGGGCGACTTAATATTTCAGTGATCTGGTTTGTCTCTGGGTCCCTAATATAGCAGTTTGAAGTAAAGCATACAAATGATCCAATAACTCACAGATGTGTTAGCACCTATCATGCCTTTGGCTGATACCAAAAAACTAATCAGACCTGATTAATGTTTGAATGGGAGTTCCGCAGAAAACCTAGGGCCATATGCTAGACTAGACTCTTTTGTAAAAATCTAGAATAGACAAGTGAAAGTTTTTTGGATCATGGCATCATAGACAATGAACTTAAGGGATTCTTTAGGGTTTTTTTTTTAATGCAAATCACATAAGTGAGGTTGACATTTTCCTCCACCTCTGTGAGAGGCTGGCTCTGAAATAAATCTCTTCTTCCACAGCATTGGGCATAATGAAGTCATTGGCATGTGTCGAGTGGGCAATGATGCTGATTCGCCTGGGAGAGATCATTGGGCTGAGATGCTGGCAAATCCACGTAAGCCCATTGAACATTGGCACCAGCTAGTAGAGGTGAGCGTGATATTGTGAGAACACCAGGTCTGATCTGTGTCCAACCCATTGCTCCAGTGGAAATTAAAAATTAAACTTAAATGCCAGTTCAGGAAGAAACAGAGGCAATGAACCAGTCATTCTGCAACTTCTCCGTTAAGCACAAAGCTATTCTAACCTGCTGCCTTGGGCACAGGATAGAGCAGTCTTTCTCAACCTTGACAACTTGAAGATTTGTGGAGTTCAACTCTCAGAATTCCCCAGCCAGCCATTTTAAAGTTGCCTGAGTTGAGAAACACTGGGATAGAAAGACAAAGAGAAAAATTGGGGGGGGGGAGCTATGAAGTGGCAGGACAGAATGAAAAACATGTTTCTCTCTCTTAATTATGATACTACTCCACCCATATCTTGCCCAACTCCCACCCACTATTGTCATTTAGCGCCTTCCTGGATTCCTTCCAAACAAATGTGGCCCTTGAAACAATAAAAACTGCCCATTCCTATAAATAAGAATGCAATAAATTATTCTGTGTATTCCTTTTATGACCTGTCTTTCACTCAGCTTTTATGGTAATGATGTAGTTCTAGACTGTTGGCTAAAATTGTTGTGCCTCTTATGTATTCTGGTATTGCAGCTGTACAGTACCGTTCCAAGAACTTAGTAGTGCATCCTGAATACAAAGCATGGTTCCTGAAGAATGCTGGAAGACTCACTGACACAATGGAATAACGTTCCAGAATAACTGAGAAACAACGGGCTAAACGTTTGGGGAAACTGTCAGGATTGTATAATGTCATAAGTTGGAACAGAATACGGAGTTGGGGTTTCTGGATCTTTCTTTTGGGAAGACACAGTTGGGAGGGATGGGGGCCAAGTTTGGACTATCTCTTCAAATCTGAGTCTGTAAGTCAGAGTGCTCTGGCTATGGTTGGAGAGTCTTGAGAGCAACACATTTGTCCCTCTGATCTTTTTCTCTTTGCTGCCTCTGATTTTTCAGGAGAAGACTTTGAACAGCTATATCAACAAGAATCCTCCAGCTCGAGATAAACCTAGCATCATAGTAGAAAGCGTTCATTCAGACTAAAGCAACCACCAGCAGCCCTTTGCCACCAGGGACTGTAAGTGCCTTAGAGAGATAGAAATGGGATGAAAAATGATATATACCTTCTTAATTTTGGTAGAAGCTGTAGCGAATCGGAGACACCTATCCTTCTCCATGTGTGCCCGAGATACTATATTGCTCTTTTAGAAAATTAATGCCAGATAGTTCACAAAGTAGATGCTACATTGGGTTTCCTGGATATGATCTTATTTAGGGGACACTTGGCCAGTAAGTATTGGATCCCTTATTGTAGGCCGATAAGGCAGTGCAAACCAAATAATAAATTCCACACACACACACACAATACTTTTAGATTGACTATAATAATACCTTGCAGGTCCTGTTGTGCTTTCCCTCCTCCCTCTTTTTTATTCATATAAATTAGGGGAGTGTCTGTCTGAGACATTTTCATAATCACCCTCCCCCCACCGTTGTCTGGATTCAAGTAATGCTTCCCTCTTTTTTGCTTTGGTAATGAATCTTCTTTCCCCATCAAGGTCATCCTGTGTACTCTCTACTTACAGTCATCAACTTAAAACACAAAGAAGGGCCTCTAAAATTAATCAGTGTGCTTGAGTCTTACTAATGGGAGGAGATGTTCCTAAGATATTATGGGTCCAACCCATTTATAGATAAGTAATTTGAATTGGATCTGGAAATGAACTCTCAGTTAATGGTACTGCTGTTAAAGCATTGATGTCACCCAACCAAATCAGTTCAGTAAGCCTCATTTAGTAGTTACCGGTAAATAGAATTATTCTAGACAAATAAATATTCAAACATTTTTTTAAAAGATAACAATAGAAATGCAGTGGAGTAACACAGACAGTGGCTACTATTCAGATGAGGTTGCCATTATTAGCCCCCCCAAAAAACCAACATTTTTTCCCTTGCTAAACTAGGTTGCAGGGAATATGTAAAATGTTCCATTTCTGGCCCCAAAAATAAATTCCACAACTTTATACTCTATATGCTCTAGAGTTGCATGGCTGCATGGTATTGGCTAAGTTATTTTGAACCTTAACGCCAAATTATAGAAGTGGTATTAGCAACAAAGCAATTCCCAGAGCCTAAATTCTCAGTTAGAGACATGCTAAATTCTTGGGACAATTCCAGGATTAATCCCCCAACTCAGTTTGGACCATGTCAGAAATTTCTAGTAATATAAAAGTTGGTTTTATATTAGTTTTGAAAGAAGTGATAGATGGCCTTCATTCTTTTTTCTTTCAGGGTTCCAGCAATGTGCTCTCAGAACTTTCTGGAGTGTTAACGTTTCCTCAGATCCATCTGAGAGGAAGTGCCAATAGGAGATCATCTGAGGGAAGGACTGCAAGTTCCTGCTTCCCTCAATCCCCATCTTCCCCAGAAAGTTTGCTGCCTGATGCATTTTTCTTTTCAAAAGCCATAAGGGCAGCCATCAAAGAGCATTTTTCTTGTGGGAGGGATATATTGTATCTGGAATAAATAAATAAAAAAGACCCCTCCCCCTAGTTTATCTAAATGGGGGTGGGATCTTTTTTGACATGCATGCTATTGGAGTCTTTGTTATGGAAAGAGTCAAAATGGTAAACTAGAAATATTATCTATTCTTTGTTTTTCAAAATTGCTCATTGGACAGGAATTCACGAGGTTCTCCCTTTCCCCATGGAGCTATATAGTAGAGTTCTTCAGACTGTTATAGTTACAGTCTTTTTCAGGAGGCATAATAGGGGACAGGCATGGCAGATAACCATTCTTCCTTCTACATTCTATCCTGTGTACGGGCTTCAAATCTTCTCACGGCTGTGACTTTAGAGCCAGGTGACTGTTAACCCTTCCTCTCTTTCTTGTTTTCTTTTCACAACAGATCTTTTGAAGGCATGAAGGAATGTCTTTGTGGGTGCTTGGTCTCATAGGGGTGGGGGCAGAGTTTCTGCATAGTACCAGAAAGCATGCAGCACCCATTACCTCAGTCTTCATGAACCTCCAGCCCAAGAATAGGAGGGAGGGAGAAGAAAATTGGCATTCTTTCCTCATCACCCAACCTTGATAGACAACTGTGTAAGTGACCCAGGAGGACTCCCTCTGGACATCTCAGCCAATTTGCCCTGCTATGCCTTCTGCATCAAGGACCACCATGGAATTATCTTCCTACAGATTAACATCAGGCCTGTGACATCAAAGTGGCTCCATAATGGACTAAATTAAGGCCTACTTTCTAACCTGGAATTAGATTTGGGCTCAGTTTAACTCAGAATATCAACAGCCAGTTCTGGACTCTTTCATATGTATGTGTAAATGTTTGGGGGTGAGATAATAGTGTGACTCCTTTCCTAAGTCTCATTAAGTTTGCTGCTTCTGGCTTTTGCATGGTCACCCTCCACTCAATTTGAGTGCGTGAGTGCTTCCCAGATTTAAGCTAGGACAGCCTCTTGGTCAGAGAATCAAGACGTTCTGGTTCTTGCCACTCAAGTCTCCACTGTGTTATTTCCTTATGTACCCCCCACCTCATTTGTTTTTAAATTTGGAATGTCTTTTTCTTGTTCTCCCCCTAAGGTGCATCCATTTGTCATTTTGTCTTGGTCTCTGAAGCTCAGTCCTGTTTATGGTTGTTTTTTTGTTTTTGTTTTTTTGTTCTAATTGTGTGAAATAAAGGGAGGGGGGAGGGATAAAACAGGAGAATTAGCCCTGCTTCCTAAACTTCTGTTGCCCTTTTTTTGGAAAAGCCATATACTCTCCCAATTGCTTGGCTATAGATTTCTGGCATTAATGGGAGAGGGAGGGGGCCAGACGGTGATCTCTCTTCACAATAGTTTGGAACTTGAAGTTGCTGCTAAAACCGTGACATCAATAAAACTGGAAGAAAAACATATCTCTGGAATTCAAGACTCTTTTGAACAAAGGTGGAATATAATAGCAGTGTAGATAAATGAAGGAATTGAACCTGTATTCAGCATTCTACCAATATATTCTGATAAAGCAGAGATGTATATGCTCATATTTCATCAGACGAGAGAGATACGCTCTTAAACTGGAGAAACTTGGATGATCATCTGTACTAGAGTAGGGCAACTTTATGTGTATCAACCACACCAGACCAGAAAAAGTGAAGCAAACTGGTAAATTCTACTGCCCCTGACAGCCAAGAATCAATCTTTTTTGTTACTAGTTGTATCTCACCATTCCCCTTGCACATCAAAATAGCATATAGGTAGTCCTCGACTTATAGCTGTAATTGAGCCCAACATTTCTGTTGCCAAGCAAGACAATTAAGTGAGTTTTGCCCCATTTTATGATCTTTCTTGCCACAATTGTTAAGTGAATCACTGCAGTTAAGTTAGAAACATGGTTGTTAAGTGAATGTGGCTTCCCCATTGACTTTGCTTGTCAGATTGCAAAAGGTGATCACATAAGCCTGGGATACTGCAACTGTCATAAATACGAGTCAGTTGCCAAGAATCTGAACTTTTATCACATGATCATGTGAAAAACAGTCATAAGCCACTTTTTTTCTGTGCCATTGTAACTTTAAGCAGTCACTAAATGAATTGTAAATTGAGGACTACTTGTATTTGAGAGCTAAGCGAGGTCACCTTCTTAAATTGTCTAAGAAAGGTGCACTGACTGCCCTGAAGACACCCAGTGAGCTCCTGGGGTTGACTAGATTGGGATCCCTATTTCCATCCTAGTTCTTATTCCATAATTACCTTCAATTGGCATAACAAGACAGAACAGATGGGTTACCTAATATTTGGAGATTCTACTTGGGTTGTCCAGATGGATTAGCATGGATTGCCCATTTCCTCGCCTTGACAAATTTTCTGGGAGCACCAAAAGTCTGCATGCCACTTTGCTTTGGAGTACTCTAGATTCATAGTGCATTCATATCTTATACAAGAATACAGGCTCAAGGGACAAAAATGTAAACAAATAGATCAATAAGTGCAGGAATAAAAATAATATTTGTAGAGCCTCAGAGAATTTGGGACAGTTGACTGGCTTTATTTCCCTTAATCCAATCAGTGAGAAGGGTCCTAACTTATCTCCTTCCTGTCATGCTATGTTTCTATATCAGGAGAATGTTATAAAAATTCTATTAAAGATGTTTGCAAGAATACAGCATTTTCCCTGGAGATGTATGCCTATAAACAGGAGAGCACAAATATCAATATAGTAGAATAATGATGAGTCAAGTCTATGGGCACTCTTCCTCCTCAGTACAATTCCAGGTCTAACTAAACAAAACAACTCCAAGCAGAGCTGAGATGGGTAACAACAGGGTATAGGTTCAAGGACCCCAAAGCCAATGTTTCTTAAGGGTGCTTGAAGAGTGTCCAGAATGTAACATTGAGACTAGTTTGGAAATGGTAACTTTGCTTGATTAAAAAAAGTACCTGGGCCTCAAGTGAACAAAGAAGTAGTGTGTGGTTGTTATATAAGGGTTATCTGGGCAAAGTCTCACTTGGGTCTTAGAACTCTTAGGTACAGGTCCCAATATCCAAACCAACCGTATGATTAGGCATGGCTGTGGTAAAACTGTTTTGTTTTTTTTTACTGCCATAGCATTAATACATTCACCCTTCAGCTGGTTCCATTTATGCTTCATTGGACTTCTCCCCCCCCCCCACATTTTCATTATTTTAGCCATTATTCAAAACTTCAATAGGACAGCTCAGCATCCTAAAGCAAGTATAGCCACAAGGACCACATTTTGCAATTTCTTTTTTCACTGAGAGTAGGAACTCTCCTGAGTTGATCTGTTTGAGAATCCACACATTTGCTTTCTTGGCTGTTCATAGTATTCTCGGGAGTTTTTCCAACACCCAACTTCAGAAAGGCTGATACTCATCACCTATCTTTGTTACAGTGGAGGCATCATAATCACACTGCCACTGTAAATATAATTCTGCACCTGAATGTGACACCTTGGCTGCAAATTCAACTGGGGAGAGCAGCTCCCTCCCTCTGCATTGCCATTTATCAAGTATGATCTTTTTTGTGGAAGAAAATATTCCATTTCTAATTCCTCTGCCAGGGAATAAGAGGTAAATAGAAAAAGTTTTTCATGCAGAAGCATGACACTTTGCCAAAACAGGAATTATATATGGCTCATCATGCAGTTGATCCACAGCCAGAGTTACAGAATCTTCTATCATCCCACATTGCCATGCTTGGCTGAGCTCCATTGGATTGACAATGGAAGCTAAGGCTAAAATTGAGGACCTTCTCTTCAATGAGGATGGATTGCAATACTGATGACACCCTGGACATAGTTTAAAAGCTTTGAAGAACTTTCATCAGGAAGCAAATTCTTCGTCCTATTCACATCTCAACCAAATGACACCAGTGTTTCAAATCAAAAGAGCACACTATACTATATGCAGAAGTCCTCACCAGATGTTGACATTGCTTACATACTCACTAAGCAGATGACTCTGCTTAGACTATACACAGCTGCTTTGATTTGATGCTCCCCATACATTTCAAAGTACATGGACTTTGAACGCCTATTGATCATTTCACAGATTCTACAGAATCCCAAAATAACTATTCTGACTCTCCCAAGAGAGTCCCAAGACTCTCCCAAGAACTCCAGAGGATGATGGTGATGAGTCTTTTATGATGGTCACAGACCAGAATAAAAATTAAAACATTAAAATAAAATGAGACGTAACAGTGTATTACAATTAATGGTAATTAATTGGGTGACCAAAGTGTCCCTAATTTTACAAACAGAATAGCAGAATTTAGATACATTCAAAGAAATTGTATCATACTGATCTCATTGTAACAGCTGTACCAAAGGAGATCAGAATTTCCTGAATATTTTGTCAGGTAAGGAGTTATGAGTCTGTGAATCCTTAGAGGACATGATTTCCATGGACCCATGTCCTGATCACCTGATGCTGATGATGGGCTAGGTCTTTCATTAGCTGTGCCATTATTAGAGGGAAGAAAAGCTGAAGAAAATAAAAGAGATAGTTGCAAAGTACATCTTTATGAAAGAGAGCCAAGTCATGCTCTTTTACCTCACTGAAGTAGAGCATGATGTCTTTACAAAGCTTTATCTACCCAAATGGTTCCTTTTTTCCAAAGTAGATCTTAACCTTATTTGAATCAAGACATTGTATTGCCCATTATTTTTCTCAGCCATCAACACCATCAGAAACATTACTTCATTCTTTAGATATCCATCATGCTCTATTTTTTACTTGAATTTTTAAACACCATTTCACCAAGACCAATGTCTATTCCAGGCCTTCCAAAAGGCAGTCTTTCCTCTCAGCATTTCTAGAAATAGATATTGACAATTAAATTTTGATATGAATTAGTTCATATCAGCCATCCTCTCTTCCAATATATATTCAGTGCACAAAAGGAACAGTGGCATCAGCAGTTTTTATCTGAGGTATTCCCCTGGTGTGTCCCTACCAGAGCTGTGCTGGGCAGCCATGTGGATTCACCTCTCCATTTTCATCTAGCACTGTAAATTTGGCCTTTACTCCCAGAAAGGTGCAAGCTTTAACTTCTTTTTAGAAGATTATTTATGCTAAGATGTATCAACTGATTAATTCTCTAACTGCAGCTGTTTTAAATGATCACCTGTGGATTCAATTTATCTTCTAATCCCACTTGGCCTCAGATCCAATGTCATCCTTGGCAGTTGAAGCAATTTGGCAAGTTATGATAGGTCATAGGCAGGAAAATCTGTAAATTCTGGAAGATTTCAAATATAGTTCTATAACTTTTGGGTGTATTTTAGTCTCCTGCATAGCATTTTGGACTCCTCCCCCTTTTTCTTTACCTATTTTCTCTTTTTTCACTGCAGACAATCCAAGCAACAGGATAGGGTCTTATTTTATTCCAGTTATGCAATTAGGGAAGTATCTGACATGGAGTCCTTCTCACTGAAAATCAGCAAGCAATGCACAGGTTGTTAACTATGTAAACTCTGTTTGCACAACATGCAAGGTTTTGACAGCCATGTAAACACACCCTTAAATTTTAGCATTTAAATCTCACATAAAATCCTCAGATAACTTACTGGAATGTCCCAGGCCACAATTCTAAATCCATGCAATATCCATCTTCTCCTAGTCCCAATTAAATAGAAGGTGTTCTACTTTAATTTTCCCAAATTGTCAAGCATATTTGAAGTTATTATCACAACTAGCCTGATCTTCCTCCAGCAGCCAAAGAGCCTTACAACTCTGTGCCACATTCTAGAATTAACCTCCTCTACGTTCTGCTCCTTTGTGGTTTCTGTGGATACAACTATACATAGCTACACTGAATCAAGTTGGGTCATAAGTAGGAAGAGTTTCACTCGTGTTCTGTGAATACTGATCAGGACGACCATTGTGGCAGATTCATACAGCCAGATTCTCGGTTGCATCAGGTAAGTAAAGCCTACCTACCTAAAGGTAATCTTAAATGCAAAAACTGATGAGAACTAGGAACAGCATGATGCTTTTAGTATTCAAAGGCCTGACCACCACCCAGCAGCTCTTCAACAAAATGTGAAAATAATTTGCCCCACTATCTCAATATACCCTTCTCTTGCTAGTATTGGATAAGGATGGCTAAATTTTCTTCTTCTGAAGCTAACTGCAGGAAATCCCTGTCCACTCACAAATAGTTATGGCTATCTTGGCTGCCATAGCCACTTCTTAAAAGCTTTTTCATATATTTGTTACTCCTAGAAGGAACCAGAGCATGAAATGCTCAAATGAGATCTTTGTTATTATCGCCCATCCTTCTACACATTTAACAAGGCCTGAGAAGGGGGGAAGAAACCAGAGCTCCTGACAAGGCAATCAACTACTGTGCCTGATGAAACATATTTCTCAATCATACTATCCCACCAAGCTCTGCCTTAAACTCAATGTTTACTGTGCTTTTGTGAAGTTCTTTTGTAGCTGGGGGCAAGCAGTAGGTAGATAGGTATCTGCATAGCTGGACCGTGGATGTGCACGGAATCAAATTTCATATCTGCTCTGACATCCAGAAGGGGAAATGCATTGTAGAGATCAAAACAGTTAGTCACAAGAGGCAAGGATTCATGAAGGTCATCAGAATAATCCTCAACAGCCTCTAGTCAAAAACAGGCTGACTTGAACAGATAGGACAGTGCAAACCCTATGACCAAAATGAGACAGTCAGACCCTAGCCAGGTGGATAGGGAGTCAAGTCCCCAAAGACTGTAAAATAGGTCCAACTCTATTTTGGGCTTATTACACTAGGTTTTGAGGGGGGCAGTTCCAAAGGACCATAATCCAAAATGCACTTATATAGGACACAGTTCAGATACACTAATTCTCTCCAAACGCTCCCCCCAACCCTCCCCCACACTCAGGGGATTGCAAGTCAGGCACACATAGCCCACAGACCGCACATTTTCCACCTTTCTCCTCTGTACACTCATAACCAGGAAGTCAGCAACAGGAGTTCTTCCCTTGATTACCAGCCATCCCAGCTCCAACCAACCAGACATGTAAGACAAGATGGGTGGAAAAGAAGCTCCAAAATCATTATTTCCTTAGCCTATAAGAAATGTTTACATTTGTCTTTATGCCATGTTCCACAGAAAGTCAAAGTTAGATGATAACTTCTTAGAACAATGTGCAGATAGGATTCTGGGGACTGATGGGGGGAGGGGGAGGCTTTCCAGCTTCCGCATACGTTGTCATTAACTTCTGTAGCACAGCAATAGCATTAGTAAGAAAGGGAATGTGCCTCCTGAATTGTTCTGTCTTCGTCTGCAGTGTTCGTGGGGCTAGGTAGCTTCATTGATTCTCTCTTATTTGATTCTATCAACATAATATACCGATCCTTGCTCATTTCTCCAAGCACATCATTTGCATCATGTTTTTTAGCTTATAAATCCTCAATGCTTTCAACCTCTTCCGAGTCAGAAACAGTCAAAGAATGTTTAAAAAAGAAAATTCTTAGACTTCATGTTTGGGGAAGAAGACTTTAAATTTTTAGATTTATTATTTTTTTTTTACAAAGGATTTGATTATGTGACTGTATATAATTTCCAATACTGAAAACGGAACTTGAAACTACCTTATGGCAGAAATGTACCCTTTGGAATCAATAGAGATATTTACAATTTACTATAATCATTTAGGAAGGAAACCACCCCGGATTTAAAATGAATTAATGCATTCCCTCCCGCTTCTCATACAAGCATAAAAAATATTAGCAGCTCTTTCGTTCTATAACCCCAAACTAGCCTTGCTCCCACAAATCAAAGAGAGTCCCATTATTTACTTCCAATAATATTTATTTACCTTGTTGTTTCCTTTATCGCCCCCCTCCCCCAGCACTGCCTCCATTGCCCCCTCCTTGCCCCCCTGCATCAGGGGCTCCAGACATCATAAGGAAAAGCACGACAGGAATAATGTACATCCACTGTAGGAGAGAAAGAAATATATACATGTTATATTAAATATGTATTATATTAAAAACATATGGCCTCGTCATATGTAATAACCCATCTCATTCTTTTCCATCTTGGAAGTGATCACGACTTCTCACAATCCCCCCTTAACGGTACTTTCCAGTTTCTAGTTTTGCTCTTGTCCCTCCGTGCATCCTGTTGCTGCTCCTCTTTCAACAAATCCCAAACACAAGAAACCCTTCACCAGATTTACAGCTGAGCCAATCGGTGTGCAGCCAATGAGGAAGAAGTGTCTGTGTCTACTATGAAGGAGAAAGGACCTGCCACCAAAAAAGGGTGTCTCAATTCTATCGTATCAGGAAATAAAGATCCAGAGAGTAGCAAACTGAAAATTAAGAAGAATGCCCTGAAAGGCACCCTGCTTACTTTGAATGGTCTCAGCCAACTGGCAGCAGAGAAGGTCGGGTCCAAGCTATCACAGAGCAAGTAATCACTAAAGTAACTTTAAGAAAGCCAGCTGTTGAGCAACATAATTTGGGGGGTTGGAGTTATTCTCAGAATGCATTGATCAAAAAGAGTAAAAAAAATTTATAAATGCTACCCTCTGGACCAGTGAACACAAAGGTAGCACCTGGGTGAGGATGCAGTCACCTTACACACATACACACACTCCCCCTCCCCAGTATCAAGGTTGGCTCCAAAAGAAGTGTAGCCTTTTTGTTCTCCAAGGTGACACAGGGAGGCACTGAGAGAGTTCAAGCTAAATGGAGCCAAACAAAGAAGACAAAAGTGAGTTGAGCCAAGTACAGGATTACTTTTGCTCAGGGCCGTCGTCTCAACTTCTTAGGGAATGTTGCATAGATGGTCACTGGGAGAAGTGCAACTGCACCCAGAATTAAATGCCACTGCAGGGATTGGGGATAAGAAGTATCAGAGCAGGAAGCAGTCATTTCTCAGCAACAGTTGCCTGGCTAGATGCAGAAATGAGACAGCAGGCAGGCTGAGGAACTGAGAACATTGCGCTACAAGGGTGGAAAAAAGAACGGAGCCTGCTCTTTCCATCCCCCATCCCCCACCCCCAAAGTACAACACTTACGTATTTCGCAAAGAAGGACTTCTGCTCCTGGGGATTTTTGGCTTTCTGAGCCTGCTCCTGTTCCAAGCGTTCAATAAATGCTGCCGTTTCAGGGCTGGCAGCAGAAAAAGTAACTATTAGTAACAAAACTAGAAAGCATCCCTCAGTACTCACAGAGGGCTGCACAAGCCCAGATAGGTATTTAAAAAGTAAATGGAACGTTTGGGCCCCAATGTACAGTATTTCAACCGTGTTTCCCGTGTGAAAAACATTAACACACCACACTCCAGGTGGTTCTGCTGTTTCTTTCATTAGAACTAGTCAAAGAAAGAATGCTTTGCTTCCGAAGTGAAATGTATTGAAATTCACTGGATGCATCTTGATAAAATTCCCCGTCTTGGAATACGTTCGAAACTCTGCTCCCTTCCTTTTCCCTAACTGGAGATAGGATTCTGCCCTTTCGTCTTCCTGCCCTTCCTCAAAAGTTTCCACCACCCAGTCTTCAAAAAAGGCAGACTGGCGAATATCTCTAATGTTCAGTGCAAAGCTAAACCTGTATAGAAATAAACAAACTGAAAGGACTTCAATGAAACCTATTTTTCCACTTTGCATGTTTAAAATCAGAGTCAAATCTCTAGATTCACACTTCTCTGCAAATAAATCATCTAGAAATCTTTCTGCCAATCTGTCCAGATGAGACCCCTGCCTTTTAGCCAACCTCCACCCCATTTTGGTGAAGAAGACTGGTCATTTTGCTTATATTCCAGTTGAGGAAACCTGCTCTTAACTGACAAATCTGCTTCCAAAAAATCTTCCATAATCTAACTTTAGATTAGTCAAAAACTACTCACACAGCTGCTGGTATGGGCTGCTGGAGGAGAATGGTAGTATTGAAGAGTTCCAGATCCACATCTTCCACTTCAGCTCCGTGGCAAGAGCTAGGAACAGTGACAGCAGAGAGGCCAATTATGTTGCCAGCGATGTCTGTGTGCACTACCAGCCTATCTGACAGATGAGACTCGACCAGTGAACACTGCAAGGAAAGGAAGACACATCAATATTGTCTCTCTGCCTGTCTTAGCGTTTCCAACTCAGTGCGCATGAGCACCAGTTTTGCATACTAGTGCAAAACTCGGTCCTGTGAAGTAGCAAGGCAGTTACTGGGATAGTGAATGAATGGGGCCACAAGCACTTCAGGGGTGACTTTTCTTGAATTTGGCCTTCTTACGTTTCACCTCTGCCTGTGTTTCAGTAGCAGCACAGATGACATCTCCAGCAAAAAATATCCCAGACCGCAACTGCTCAGGAAAAGAGGTTAATCTCAGAACCCTGAGATTCTTCAGTGCTGCTTTCCCTCTCAGGAGGCACCGATGTTGGACCAGACAGAGAGATATTTCAAAAGAAGAATGCAATGCAATGCTTATTCTTATATTTATATCTTGATATTCCTTTAAGCAAAGCTGGTAATTTCCTAAGCCTCATTCTGCAAACCTGCACAGACTGCACTGCCAAAACGTTGGTGCTGTTTTTTTCATATTTGTGGGGGAAAAGGCTTTCTAAAACACCAATCTGGAAACATAAACCCCCATAATTCTCACAGTAAATGGTCAAACATTTATCTTTGGCCATTCTTGTGATATCACTGCATTACTACTAATCTCTCCTTTGCCCCTCAAAGCTGCTTTTCTTTCTGAAAAGTGCACCCTCAGACTGCAAAAAAAAAAAAACTTGACTGTGATCCAAGTACACGAGATATGAGGAAGACACAGTGACTGGCTCAGAACCTGAATCTCCCCAGTCACAATCCACCATAATATTGTCTTCCTATCAATCAGCATATAGTTGATCTTAGCTGGCAAAAAAACAAGGTCTAGTTTCTATTACTTAGAAATCTCTAGGGACTGGGAGAAAAAAAAATCTCAGAAGGCAATGGAATACTATTTCTGCATCGTTGCCAAGTAAAGATGCATGATTTTGCCAATGCATCCCAGAAATTAAGCTAAAGTCAATCGTAACTCTTCCCTCAATAATCTCAGAACAGCCTCATCAGGATTAGGAAGATGATCTCCTGATTAATACAGGGTGTGCCACAAGAAACTACCGTATTTAAGGCAGGGGAAAAAACCCAATTCTATGGACCTAAGCCCATATTTCTTCACTTACCCCTCAAGAAACCAAGGAAGAAAAAGCAGTTTACCTCTTCCTACCTTTGAAGATGATAAAATATCTAGCTATTTTACTAAAGAGGCAAGATTGGCTCACAAGAGTATGTAGGAGTCATTTTTTTCGCTGCTTTCAGTCTAGTGATGTGCAAGTGTCTCAATAAGACATTGCTGTAACATATTGTCAAGGTACTTTTAAGATAACATGGATCCAGAATACTTAGCATATTTGGGGGCTTGGCACATTCTATGGTGGAGCACTTTCCATATTTCTACTCTAAGCAAGTGTCCTATAGAGTACAAGAATTCAACAGCAGTGAAGATACTTACCGCTCTAACAAAAGTTGTGACATATTCAACAGCATTGTCTTCAATACTCCCCAGAGGTTGTCGTGGGATTCTTAAGCGGTACAGTCCACCCCCTGTAGCTACCTCCTGAAAAAAAGAGGATATAGTCACTGAAAGGAGAAACTCACTACCTCACTCTATTGGAAGGAGATAAAAATTACACTCTAGAGGTCTCAAAATACATTGAGTGTTTTTTGTAGTATTTATTTTTGCTTCCGATGAGAACCAAATAATTCTAATTTTACGTCAGGGAAAAAGTTTAGTTGGCTAAGAAAACCCATCTGCCTAAGGTCCCTTAGGCTTCCATGCAGGAAAGTAATCAAATACAACATCCCTATATATGTTTCTTCCTTTCAGAAAGAAGCTACTTCTCTTCCAAAGTGCCTTCATTCTACTATGTTTCTCCTTAAAAAAAGTAAAGCAAAGCTGCTCTCCCTTGGCTTCTCCACTCACCTAAGTTTGTTGCGCTCGTCTTCAGTCAACTGCTTCTGGCTCAGGGAGAGACTAGGCTCAGGACCCACATTCCACAGAATTGCACCCCGTTTTTTGAAATGAATGCTGTCATCTTCAGAAGAAAGAAACACAAGTTAATCTCAAGAGTCTTATTCTTATTCCTCTTAGATAAATGACCTTTAGCCACTTACAACATACAGAAGTGAGTATGTCTCCAAAGTCCTCCCCTGTTTTTTAGACTGCTGCCAATGCAATTCTTTTCCTGTTTAGCACATGCAGAACGCATTAATACAATAAGGACAAGAGTGAGCATCCCATGGGCCCCACCCTGTCCAAAGGGGTGTTTTTTTGGCTGCCTATCAATAATCACACACAAACGTCAACATGAACTTGCACATAACTGTATAGATTTTTAAGATATTTAAAGCACCTATTCTGCTCCTTAAAGCCATTCTGAGAAGGAAAGGCCAGGATCTATTTCCCAAGTTTCACAGGATTTTAGAATATATCTTAATCCTTCCCAATGTAAACAATGACAACCCTCAGTTCAGGAGTAATTTCAAAGTAGTAAACCAGGCCTAGGAGAGGAGCTTACTACTCAAATATTGTCTACTTTTGCATATTTCCAATGGCGAACTCAAGGTTCCCATAGTGTCTTAATTTATGTATTTGTATGCATAAAGGCTATGAAAAGTGGAAACTAACATGACTATGAAATGGGCCTAATTACTGCTACTTAATATGGACAAATTGTCCAATTCAAGGTTGCCCATGCTCACTATATACACTCACCCAACTCAAATGAATGTTCCAGCTGCAGATTCAATCCACAAGTTTCAGAATCTCGGGCTTCACCAGACTGAAAGCAACAGAACTAGATCATGAATTTATTTGCAGATCCCTCGCATCCTGGACGTAAATTGTTTCAACTCCTATTCTCAAAATGACACTATAGAGCACTCCACAGCAAGACAACTAGAAACAAGAAGAGTTTTTTCCCGAACGCCATCACTCTACTAAGTAATTCCCTCAACACTGTCAAACTATTCACATTAGGCTGCATTATTATTGCTATTGGTCTTCTCATCATTCCTGTCGCCCATCTCCTCCCACTTGTGACTGCATGACTGTAACTTTGTTGCTTGTATTCTTGCGATTTATATTGATATTGTTTCCTAGTATGATTTGATTGCTTATTGTACCGTTTGACTGTCACTGGGTGTTGTGCTCTGTGATTCTTGACAAGTGTATCTTGTCTTTTTATGTACACTGAAAGCATATGCACCAAAGACAAATTCCTTCTGTGTCCACAGAACACTTGGCCAATATTCTATTCTATTTTGTTCTATGAATGTTGCAAAGCTCCTATAATTTGTTCCAAGCTTCAGTGACCCAAATTCTGCCCTATGTGTGCTAATGTTACATCCCACATAATAGCAAAACTTTTCTGCCCATAATTTAAAATAGTATTTTGAGTGTTTTTGGTAATTGCACTGGTACCACCTGTAAAAAGAGACCACAGATGTACAGCATTAAATGTGACCAATAAAACTACAATACATTCCAGTCTATGATATTTATTATGGAATAAGCTTTCATAACTAGAATCTATATAATTAAATAAGATAATTTAAACTAGGCATAGGCAAAATTAGAAATGACTCAAATTCACATGTTCTTTTGACTGAATGTTTGCATAAAATATCTTCCAATATTTTGAGAAGCTCCTTTCTGTTATCTAAACCTGTGAGATTGTTGCAAGAATACAAGGAAATAATGCCTTTGTAGGAGGGACATCGTTTTTCAAGCAGATAAGGAAGTTTCCAGTTCAACTGGTGAATTAGCTGACAAATGCTCCAGTTGGGAAATCCTGGAGAGTTGTTTCAGGTTATTGAATACAATTCTGAGCTAGATATTATGTGCCATCAAGTTCTTTTTTATCCCTAGAAATCACATAGATATTCTCTTTGACAGGGGGTTCCAACTTCCAGTCTGTGGCCTGTAAGGAACCATGAGTGGCAAGTGAGTGAGTAAAATCGAAACCATTTCTCCTGCCCATGGAAAAATTGTCTTCCATGAAACTGGTCCCTGGTGCCAAAAAAGGTTGGGAACAATTGCTTTATAATGCTCAATCCTTAAGACTGGTCTTTCAGATCTCGCAATGCTGAGCTGGATATATCAGCAATGATTTAGAATAAGGCAGCTATCCATCAACTTTTCAATCCCAGGAAAGCTTAACAATTAAATGTTTTGAGAAAGATCATAGAGGCTCAGGATTCAGTCCATCCATAGTTACGGAAATTCAATGATGATTTTGGGCTAGTCACTCTCTCAGTTCAACTTGGCTTCACAGAGTGGCTGTTGTAGGGATAAAATGAAGGAGATCCCCGTGTAATCCATCTTGAGCTCCCAAAGTAACATTATTGTACATACAATTAATAAGCGAGTTCAATATTTTATGCCAAGATGGCACTTAAGTCCCAGCCTCTTTTGCCAAGCTGCTTCCTTCCCCAAATCAGAAGGCCTTGATGCATCGCCATTTAGTCTTTCTTTATGGCATATTAATGGCAGAACTCATGAAGCTTCATCTCTTTTCTTACTAAATGAAAACACAGCCACAAAGAAGAATATATATATACATTTATCGCCTCTCGTAACTGCAGGTCCCAATCCATTTAATGAAGCTGCCTGTTAGGAGATTCAAAACAGGCATCATTCGGGTACAGAGTTAAACTACGGGACTCGCTGCCACAAGATGCAAAGGCGAGCCACCAGCTGAAATAGTGCTGGTGGAGGAAAAAAGCTCTCACAACCACTGATTATGGCGAAAGGAAGCATCCAGACTCAGAAGCAGCACTCCTGTGAATCTTTTCCCTACAATTCCTTAGGCATCCATGGAAACACCAGGGTGGCGTCTAGCACAGCTTAGGTCCTGGCAACCAAAGTCAGCTCTGCCCTCACCCATGTTACCGTGAGACCTACCTTGACAACGGCCTCTCCCCGGCAGGCTGCAGAGGCCCGGGCAAGGACCTGAGGCGAGGGGGAAAGAAGGAGGGCGACGACAAGCAGGAGGCAGGCGCAGAGCGGTCGTTCGGCAGCCGCCATAGCTCCCTCCACGGATCACGTGATCTGGGGAAAAGAGGACAGGCAGAGCAACCGCAAAGCACTCTGGGGGCCGAAGTGCAGCGTTCAAGAGCCGAGCGAAAGCCAATCACCGGCGCTTTGCGGCTTAGCGCCTCTCTTAAGCGCTGGCTCTCCGCTCGCGCCGCACGTGGCGGCGGCTTGTCTCGCAGCTGCAAGCGCTGAGAAGAAAGGATGACGTAGGAACAGCCGGCTCGAGTGATGGGGAAGAAATTGCACGATGGGTTTTCTTGCGCCTCATCCTTTAATCTCTGGCATCGTCTCCTCTATTTTTGAGGGCGATGAAAGGATAAAATAACAACCTGCAATTTTCCTAGACCCAAGTCAGAAAGGTTGTCTTGGATTTGTATGACCCATCATCCTTAGCATAATGGATGCTACAACTGTTTCAAAAGGAAGTAGAATATAATCGATGCCACCAAGTAGAGCCAAGAGCGAACTAGAGTCTCCTGCAGAAACTAGAGTTTATTTCCTTCCTTAGTAAACAGAATAACCATCCAAATAAATATTATACTGTTTGCAATCGTGTGTGTTTGCAAGAAAAAACAAAAGTTGCCTATCCCATTTTTCTTCCTAAGCAATGGTGGCAGCTGCTCTTTGGTTTAATGTGTCATCACAAAATTGAGTGATTATGCAGAGATATTGGAGATTGGTCGAAAGTCTTCAATTTCACTTTAGCAGGAATCTAAACTTGATATTGTAGAAAGTCAGCATCCCATCCCCAGAAGAATGCAATATTTTGGGGACTATTTAAAAAGGCAGAATATTATATTTTCCTAGATGAGAAATGAAGAAGCATGCTTTTTTTAAAAAAGACAGAAAGCAGACTCAGTCTTTTTTAATAGCCCCCAGCAGATATTTTGTGCCCATTAAGAAAGATTGGGCCAGACTATTCAAAAACCAGCCCCAGTTTCTCAGATCCCAAGCAGAAACTAAGGCCAGCTTTTAGAAATGCAGATTTGGTAATCCATTCAGAAAGGCTGGGTCAAGACAGAAACTCATAAGCAAGAAACAAAAGGTTGACAAAACTAGCACAGACAAGCACCTAGGATTTACATTTCCACTTTTGCCTACAGAGCTAGCTATGAGCCCTACATGACCCCATAGGAATCTGACAACAGCCAGTAGAATACATGTTCTAGCATAGGAACAGGAAGCCCAAGTGCAAAGCCCAAAAGAAAGTATAAAGCTCCACCCATTCTAAACTCCATTTTGTCAGCTGCCCAGAATTATACTGCTTGGTAATTCTGCTTCATCAATAAATGGACCCTCTTTCCAATCAGCCTCCAGCCTCCATTTTGTCTCCATTGCCTTTCTCCCCGGTTGGAACTGAACCAGATGAATATTTCTTCCCACAATATAAGAAATATTCTGGTTCTGATAACTTATGATTCTGCTTTTCCAAGATTTGCAATTCATACAGTTTTTTATTCCAGTTCCCTTTTTGCAAGAGGAGAACTCACACATAAAAAAATCAACATTTGTAGGAATTACATGATTTATTTATTTATTTTCCTTTGTTTTACTTTGTCATTGCTGCTCAAATATGACTGAAAAAGAAGTTTATTTTGTTAAGTCAGTTTCAAATTTTCCTCCCTTAGACTGGAATTAATTATTTAATTGAGAGGTTGCCAAGTATTCAATCTACCCCTAGGCTCTGCATTCAAGTTATTATTTGCTGTTTCTTCTATTGACAAAACTGCATTGTAACATGAACAAAGGTTGAGGTGAATTTAAGAAACAAGTCAAATTTATCCTGTTGTGATCTAGGTCAAGTCAAGCTATGGCTGAATTCAAACAACATCCTAAAATAAAACTAGAAGTCCTTGGTGCTTTCTAAGCTGGGTTGGTTTTTTTTTCTTTAGAGCCGTGGTGGTGCAGTGGTTAGAATGCAGTATTGCAGGCTAATTCTATTGACAGTTGACCTCCAGCACTTTGACAGTTCGAGTCTCACCGGCTGAAGGTTGACTCAACCTTCCATCCTTCCAAAATTGGTAAAATGAGGACCCAGATTGTTGGGGGCAATATGCTGATTCTGTAAACTGCTTAGAGAGGGGCTGTAAAGCACTGTGAAGTGGTATATGGACTAGTCAAAGTGCTATTGCTAGTCCTGCAGACTAAGTAAAAGGAGTGGGCTTTGCGCTCAATTAGTATTCTAGTGACTTGCCATGTCAGTGTTGGTGGGAGTGGACTTGGAGGTTCTTTGGTTGGGCCATTTACTCTTAGCTTGTTTGGCAGTTCCTTGATTGGGTATTGTTTACTTCTTGATTGTTAGTCTGATGTTGATGTTAATCTATACTCATCAGGTTGTTGATTGCTGGTGGGGAGATGTTTTGATCTTTTTGTTCCCTTTTTAGATTGTTGAGCAGTATGTAGATGTTGTTTAATGTCTATGTGTCTAATGGTGGCCAAATTGTAAGCATTTGTCTAGCGTTTTGGACTTGGCTTGGTCTAGGATGTCAGTTTCCCAGTTGAAACCATGGTTAAATCTGTCTATATGTTGTGAAATTAAAGAGTTTTCATCATTCTCCTGACTCTGAGTTGGTATTTCTGGATGTGTTCTGCTAATCTTCCTGTTGGTCCTATGTAGTAACTGTTGCAGTCTTCACACTGTATGTTGTAGATGGTTTCTGTTTTTATTTCTGGGGCTGCTAGGTCTTTTGGCTTCCTTAGGATGTTTAGGAGGGTTTTAGTTGATTTGTGTGCTATGCTGATTCCATGTGCTTTTCTGTTGGTGGTTTCTGAGATATTTTTGATGTATGGCAATGTTATCCTTTTTATGGCTTATGTTGGTTGTCCTATATTGAATTGAGTGGTCAGGCACTTAGTGATGAAGCTGCGTAACAAATAAACAGTAAACAGCCCAACCAAAGAATCTCCAAGACCCACTCCCACCAAGCCACTAGGATATAAATTGAGAGTAAATCCAATTCTTACTAGCCCTGATGATGCTACCTAGTTTGGATAATGAAATGTCTGCAAGAAAACAACCAACCTCAGAGAGCACCTTTCAATTTTGGGGTTCACGCCATTTCAACTTTGAGCTGCAAATATTCTCTTTTTTTGTAAATTATAACCAAATAAAACACAATTTAAATTATCGCAATGTATGAGTTTAGTCTCTTTGCCTATCTAGGGTCTAGGCTTTAGATGAGCACCTTGTTGCCCTCGGCCTAATTTAAAAATAGTTATGTAAGAGATGATTTCAGGTCTCTTGTAAGTTCTATCAATAAGGAAAAAGAATAAGAATGACAAAAATGAGAAATGTCTGGAAGGTAACTTGTGTGCACTCTCATTGCTTTTTTTTTTTTTTTTTTAAATTTGATTTATATGCCGCCCTTCTCCGGAGACTCAGGGCGGCTTACAATGTGTTAAGCAATAGCCTTCATACTTTTGTATATTTATACAAAGTCAGCTTATTGCCCCCACAAACTGGGTCCTCATTTAACCTACCTTAGAAAGGATGGAAGGCTGAGTCAACCTTGAGCCTGGTAAGATTCGAACCTGCAGAAATTGCAGGCAGCTGTGTTAATAACAGGGTGCATTAAACCACTGTACTACCAAGGCTTGCTTTAGCCCCCTCACCATCAGCCCTCCAACAGATGATCCACAAGAGAATGTGGCATTCATACGAAACAGTTGCCAATGGAGTCCAGTCTTTTCAAGACTGACAATTGTTCTTATGACTGTTACCACTGAAGTCCCTGGCAGGTACTTATGACCAGATTCAAAATTCTAGCAATCCTACCCCACCCAAGAGACAAGTCCTGGCTTTCCTACCTGTTCTCCTTTCATTTATTTAAATAGAAATTTGCAGTCCTTTCAGATCTTTCTCTTAAATTTCCTTTTTGTATTCTCCTCACAGGGCCTCCAGCACCGTAGTCAGGATCCTTCTGTGTCCTCTGGATATCTGCATTTTGAAATGGGAGACCTGCGGAGGTGCCTGAACAGCGGAGAATATGGAGCACTGAAAGATTGTGATCTGTATGAAAGCAATTTTTTACAGGTGAAACAGAGTGGGAAGGAAATTAGGAAAATATCCCCCAGTATTTACTTCCGAAAATCTGAACCCTAAGGCCTCCTCCAATGCTCTTGAGAAAATGAAAAAGGGCAAGTACAACCTTTTCTGTGGATATTGGTATCCTTGAGATTGTTTACTTGGTGCCCTCTTCATACTCTTTTCAGCACCATGTACAGGCTACCTTCATTTTCATCCATTCAAGTTATGTACAGTACTGAAAAAAGTGACTTACAACCAGTCCTCACACTTACAACCATGGCAGCATTCCCATGGATATATGATCAAAATTCTGGTGCTTGGTAACTGGCATGTAATTACAACAGTCACAGCATCCTGGGATCATGTGATTGTCATTTGTGACCTTCCCAGGCAGTTTCCGGCGAGCAAAACCAATAGGTGAAGCTGTATTTGCTTAACAACGATGCTTGCTTAACAACTGTTATGACAGTTTTAACATCAGGTATAATTCCTTTAACAACCACCTTGCTTAGCAATGGAAATTGGTGATTGTAAGATGATCTATGACTTTTCTTTTTCACAGGCATGTTAGACATATGCGCCTCTGCAATGTTATTGTTACAACAACTTTATTTTACTTTCTATACTGGCCATAACATTCTTTCAGAAACTTAAGAATGGAATAAATAAATTATTTCCACCAGTCAACCTAGCCCCCTAGAAGTCTTGCATTAGCTGAGGCTGAAGATTTCGAAACTCTACCAAAAAGCAACAAGTTCTAACTTTTCTTGAGTCAGATAAGGCAAAAAAAATCAGTTTGTTAGGATTATATTGCCATATATAAAGCTAAAATAGTGTTTTTCAGTGGCAAGATATATCTAATTTGTTTGGGAGAGCAGTGTTATTGCATTTGCTGAACATAATTAGCACCCTGTACTATTTTTGAAAAGGCACTCCAACTGTAAAAAAATCAGTGGGAAGGTGCTTTTTTTCTAGGATGGTATCTGTTTTTCTGTTTTCATTTAAAAAAATTAAGCAGGGGTATCTCATTTAGTTGTTCTGCTTCATGTGTGTAAATGCCTTCACCATTCCACTATTTATTTATTTATGCCCTGCTTTATTTATATCCTGCTTTTATTATTTTTATAAATGGCATGGGGCAGCAAAACATACCTAATGCTCCTTCTTCCTCCTATTTTTCCCACAACAACAACCCTGTGATGTGGGATGGGCTGACTTGCCGAAGTCACCTACCCAGCTTTCTTGCCCAAGATGAGACTAGAACTCATGAATTCTGGTTTCTAGGTCAGCACCAGAGCTGGTATTCATCAGGTTCTGACCTGTTCTAGAGAATCGGTAGCGGAAATCTTGAGTAGTTCGGAGAACTGGTAAATAAAACCTCTGGCTGGCCTTGCCCCCATCTATTCTCTGCCTCTCGAGTCCCGGGTGATCTGGAGGAAATGGAGATTTTGCAGTGACCTTCCCCTGGAGTGGGGTGGGAATGGAGATTTTACAGTATCCTTCCCCTGCCACGCCCACAAGCCTACCCAGAACCGTTAGTAAAAAATTTTGAATCCCACCACTGGTCAGCACAATAACCTTATGCTGCCAGTTGTCCATTCTGTCTGGTTGCATTTGGAAGTTAGAAGTCTTGACAGAGATTCCTAATCTAATTTTTCCTGGAGTTAACTGAACTTGATCCTAACACATCTGGGGGAAAAACATGTTAGAGAAGGCTGTCTTTTTCTTACCCATCTAGAGAAAAGACAGGAATCCTTACAACCGGTTTCTACTGACTAATCTTTTTTCGAACTAAAGAAGCAAATCAAATGTCCTAAATCAAATTGGAATCTGATACAGCATATAGAATTATAAGCAAAGCCATTTTTTGTATGCCATTATTATGTTTCCAGGAATAAAAAATACTTGAGATATCTAATTAAGAAAAAAAATCAATAAAACATAAGAATAAAGTCATTTTAACAGGTTATACTTCAATTATGCCCCAAGCTTTATTTATAAATTCGATTCTACTGAAATATATGTGAACAGCTCAGTAGCATCTTAAGTCAGTGGCTATGTTACTCAGGGATAATGGGCGTTGTACTACAATAGATCTGCAGGGCACCTGGTTACAGGAGGTTTCACTGTGGGAAGTTCAGCATTAGTGCACTTTATTTCCTGTTGTCCCTAAAATCTCTCTCCTTTGTGAAGTGAGAATTGTGATTTTTCTCCTAAATCAGCCTTATATAACCTGTTCCGCTGCAGGCAGTCTTTGAACTTTCATCAATATAATGAAGGGAGTGGTGGCACATATCTGTCTTCTCTTGATCCTTCTATTTCTTTGAATATTTGAAATGGATTTTCCCCCTGACATAATTCATATCAGGAATCTCAAATCTGAATCATTTCAAGGGACTGTTCTTTTTAGGCCAAGGCTATCAGCAGGGAGTTCAAAGACAGTGGACAGTAAGCAAGTAGAGATCCCTGCAACTATCCTACCACAACTCTTTGCCACCAGTGGCAGGCTGACAGGCCTTGGCCTGAGCTATAACAGGACTAGGAATGCAGCTATCTCTCAGCTGTGTGCAAAGCCAAGTCATGCTTTCTTCTTAAGCAAGAAGAATCTATAGCACCTGGCAAAGAGCACCTGCTGCCTTAATATTCTCTCCTGCTGTAGGTATCAGTAAGATGTGATGGAGAGCTGCATGTGGACTGTGGGAGATAAGTTTGAGATACCGAGTCTACATCAACAATTCTGAAACTCTCATGGTCCACCAATTATATGTAAGAAGCATACAGAAAGTGAGAAGAAGTCGATTTGTTCTACTGGTTAAATGTGTGATCAGGATGTCCAGGGAGTTCATTGAATGACTTGAGGTCAGGTTTTTTCAATGTTAGAGTTGTTACTGCATGGATATTGTTTTTTCGACCCCATCTAGATCTCATTGGAAAAAGGTGGGATGTTAATGTAATTGATTGATGTACTTAGACTAATCAGAATAAATGCGAAACCTGATCCAAAGCTAAATCTGACAAACTTTGCTGACTAAACAAGCATATCCTTTGCACTGGATAGGCAAGGCTGCCACTGATTTTTAGAACTAAAATGATCTTTCTGCATCTATCACCAATTTACAAGTGGTCTATAAAGAAAAATGTTTGATAATTTCTATTGAGTAAAGATGCTGAGCCAAACTTGACTTCTGCTGAATTCATAGACAAGTCTTGACAACAATACAGAAAACAATGGTTGCCATTTCCTTGGATGACCATGTCATAAATCCTCAGTAGATGAATTGAGTTCATTCCTAAAATTACCGTTGTTTGATTTCATTGCTTGAAAACCTTCAGCTGTCCAGACATTGCTCATCTATAACTTGAAATATCTGTATTCAGCAAAGCCAATGAAAAGGAACACTGGGAATTATAGTTATACAATATCTGGAAGAGCAGAATATCTCTATCCCTGACTTAATCTTTATTTAACAGTCTTTAAAACTTGGTAAATTTTCAGTGACTTGGATAAAGAGATGCTATTTTTCTAACTCTGTCTTGTTCTGTACAGATTTCTGGCCTGTAGTTAATTGAGCTTATTGATGTATCCCAGTTGGGTTTGTATAGAGCCATCAACTACTTATCAATATTTTGATTTTAGCTTAATAGTTGTTATGTGAGGACTATTTCAAAGCTTTCTGTTGTAATAGTGTAAAAGTGCAAAGAACCCTCAAAATGAATGTTTCCCTTCCAGGTTACCAAGGCAGGAGATATTGCCACCAGAGTCACCATGGGCATCGCTGCCAGTAGCCCACATCTAGAGATGCCTGATCTTATGCTGCTGGCACGGCCAGTTCCCTGCCTAACAGAATGGTGTGTATGTCAGTGTCCTGAGGCGCTGCCTTTCGCAGATGAGGAGCTGCAGCTGTTTGCGTGAGTGCCTTTCACCGCACCACCATCTTACAGGGATATACCCCCAAAGCCTTGTCTGTGGTTTACCTCAAGAAATGCATCCAGATACTAAATTTTAATGTGATAGAAGGGGAGAAATAATAAAATGTATGGGGAACCCTTATATTATCTCACTTTAGTTTTTAAACAATAGTTTAGCAATAATTAACAACAATTTAAACATTAAATTATATTTTTCCCTGGTCATGCTGCACTTCCTCTCGCTACACGCCATTTTGGAGATCAACCATTTTTGTTGTTACTTCTATCTTCATTTTCACCAAATCTATTGCAACATTTCTCCAAAAGTACAATATTCTAATTATACCATTTTTTTTACATAGCTATTTATTTACTCATCTGTATCTCTTTTCTAACCAATGGTAAAATTGATCCCCTGTCTTAAAGTATTCTGAATCCTATTTTTTCTTTAATCATCAGAGTTAATCTATTCATTTTTGCACAGTCTAAATTTTTTTTAATTACTTCTCCTTCCAAGGCTATTTTCTCCGATTTCCAATTTTGTGCAAAAACAATCCTTGTAGCTGTTATTACATGTATAATCAAATAGGTATTTTCTTTATTAGTTTTATCTGAAAGGATACCCAATAGGAACAGCTCTGGTTTGAAATCTATACGTTGTTGTATCATTTCTTCCAACCATGTCTTAATTTTATTCCAATAGTTTTTAGCTTCTGGACATGTCCACCACATATAATAATAAGATTCTGCTAACTGGTGACATTTCCAACATTTAGCTGATTTTTTAAAAAACATTTTTGCCAGTTTCTCAGAGGGCATATGCCATCTGTAAAACATTTTATATTGATTTTCTTTATATGCTGTGGACATTGTTAGTTTGTAATTCCTTTCCCATAACTGTTGTCATTTGTCTAAATTGAGTATCTAAAATTCTTTGCCCAAGTTATCATTGTTTCCTTTACTTGTTCTTCCTCTAACTCAATGCCAAGCAAGAAATTATAAATTTTTTAAATTAATTTGTCCTCTGTTCCTGGGAGTATCCTATCCAACTCTGTTTTTTCTAAGTAAAAACCATGTAATTTAGCATCTTTTTCATATCTTGTTTGTATTTGCATGTACATATACCAATCCATCTCAATCCCCTGTTTTTCCAGTTCTTTGTTTCTCCTTCCCCTTATCTGTTAGTAACTCCTTATATCTAACAATATTTCTAAAATTAAAGATATTTGGGTGTATTAAAGCTTCCATTGTTGATAACCATATTGGTATTTTCACATAGTATTTGTCTCTAATCTTCTCCCACACCAATAGCAATGCGTAATTTATATAATGTCTATGAAAGTACGTGTCTATCTTATTTCTACCATAAAAATGCATGCCATCCCAATTGTAAATCGTGATCTTCCAATGTTAATAGTCTTATATATCTTAATTCAATCCATTGCTTTATCCAAGTCAATGCTGCTGCCTGGTAATGTAGTTCCCAATTCGGCAATCCAAATCCTCCACGTAGTCTTGAATCCTATAGCATTTTTATACTTATTCTTGCTTTTTTCCCTTGCCATATGAATTTCCTTGTTATCTTATTATGATGTTGAAAGTAAGTCTTTTCAATTTTTATTGTTACTGTCTGGAATAGAAATAATAGTCTTGGTAATATGTTCATCTTTATTATTGCAACCCTTCCCATAAATGACAGTTGAAGATTTTTCCATTTCTCCAAGTCTTTCTCAATTTGTTCTTTTAGTTTATAATAATTATCCTCTTTTATTGTTGCACATCTTGACGTTAAGTATTCTCCCAAATATTTAACTTTTTTTGCAACTTGTATATCTAATTTCTCTTTTATGTCTCTCTTTTGTTTTTCTGTAATATTTTTCATCAAAATTTTCATTTTTTCTTTGTTTATTTTTAGACCAGAGACCTTCCCATAACTCTCTATTTGTTCTAATTAGTTTAGGGCCTGTTGTTTGAGGTTCTTCTAAAATGAATACTAAATCATCAGCAAAAGCTTGCAGTTTGTACTCTTCTTTTTTAATTTTCATCCCTTTTATCTCTTCATTTCTATTTAAGACTTCTAAGGTCAAAATAAACAACAATGGGGATAAGGGACATCCTTGTCTTTTACCCTTCGTAATATTAATATTTTCTGTCATTTCTCCATTTATCATTATCTTAGCGGATTGTCTATCATAAATTGTTTTTATAGTATTTACAAATCTCTCTCCAAAATCCATTTTCTGCAATTGTTCTATCATAAATTGCCAATTCACGTTATCAAAAGCTTTTTGAGCATCTATAAACATCATCGCCATTTGTTTTTCTGAGTGTGTCTCATAATATTCTAGCATGTTTAAAATTATCCTCATATTGTCTCTGATTTGTCTCTTAGGTAAAGAACATTTTGGTCCATATGGATAAATTCATTTAATAGTCTTTATAGCCTATTCGCCATTACTGAAGCAAAAATCTTATAGTCCACATTTAATAATGAGATCAGTCTATAGTTTTTTATCAATTGTAGATCATCATCTTCTTTAGGTATAAGTGTTACATAGGCCTCCCTCCATGAGTCTGCCATTGTTGCCTCCATTAGAAGTTCATTAAATAGTTCCAGCATTACATTACTCATCACTTCTTGTAATGTTTTGTATAGTTCCTCTGGTAAGCCATCCGGTCCTGGTGCTTTCCCATTTTTTTGTCTTTTAATCGCTTCTGTCAATTCCATCATTATTATTCTTTCTTCTAACATTCCCTTGTATTGTTCAGTTATTTTAGGTAAGTCTGAGTTTTTTAGATATTTTATTATCTCATCCTCCAAGATTTCCTCTTGATAATAAAGTTTTTCATAATATTTTTGAATTATTATTTTCTTTTCTTCATTTCTATAATGTAATTTCCCCTCTTCATCTTGTAAATGTTATATTATTTTCTTCTCCTTCTCTTTTTTTATTTTATATGCTAACCATCTTCCCGGTTTATTTGCATTTTCAAAGAAATTCTGTTTGGATGCTCTTAATTTATTTACTAAAAATTCTTGTTCATTTCCAGGCTTCTGCCCTTGAAATTCGTTCGTCTCTATATCCATGATGAATCACGGTTCCAGCTCAAAGTCCGTCTGGCGAATGGCCGCACTTTTTATCTGCAGCTTCTAGCACACCCCCTCAAGCAGGATGAGATCTTTGGGCACTGGATACGGCTGCTATACCGCTTGCGCTTTTACCGCAATGATGCCCCCCTTACTTATGAAAAGGAGACTGCACTGCATCATCGTAGAAATACCTTTAATTAGGTGAGCCTCAGCTCCTTTCTCCAGCACCTGGCCCACTATAGGATTCCCTGTTCATTCCTCCAGTTGCCCAGATCTCCATGAAGGGGACTGATTCTTGGGATTCAATAGGGATTCAGACACTGATACTCAGAACTGGAGAAACAGTGAAAACCTTATTGGAGAAGCAATGAGAGTCCAAGACCTGCTGGAAAAAGCAATTGGTGAAGCAGGTTCTGAAACTAGTAGGCAACTGAATTATGCTAGAAAGATGCTAAGAACATTTGAAGTCATTTTGACATTGCGGATGACTGTTTTTTTGGGTCAGCTTCCTCTGTGCCTTTGCCTGTCTGTCCCTATCTGTCTTTCTTTTTTCAGGAAGAGGAAAAGGAGCAATTTTTCCTGGTAAAGAAGAAGACGCCGCCGCTCAGGGGAACCAAGGATTTCTCTATCCCCTCATAGTCATACACACTAATACAAAGTAAGGTTCTCCTCCCAGCAGAAGCTCACAGTGTTGGATACTTTCCTCCCCACATGAAGTTACTGCAAATTCCCCACTCACTTACCCCATCAATAAATGAATGGACAAAACTGCTTTGTACATAGCTGATAATTGTAAGACATCTGCTCAGACCTGCCATCCTCTAAACAAGAACATCTCTTCCTCCACAGTCTTCCACCCCATCTTAGATGTTGCCGACCTTTCCAACAGGAAGAGGGATCCAGATTAGTCAATCAATTCACTTTATTGACACAGGAACTGACTGAACAGACAGACAGATTAGGAGAAGGTTAGCTGGATTGTTGTAATTCTGCTCCAAATATGATATGTGTGGCTTCTGTAATAGGGTTGGTGGTAAAAGAAGAGAGACTGGTCTTGATGCACTTCTGCCCAGCCTGTGCACAATATAGGAAAGGACACTGGAGCAAAAATGAGGTGACTACATGCTGAGGAAAAAGCAGAGCAAGAATCACTGTTTGTGGAAATTGGGAGTAAATAGGTCATTTGACTTCCCCCTCAAGGCCCCCTTCCATGCTCCCCAGTCTTTCCAATATTTCAGTGCTCCCAGATAATTCAGGTATGACAGAGTTCTTCTTCAGGATTCCAGAGATCTACAGAATCATCTGGAGTCATCAAACTTTGTGCTACAATAACAGTAATGGATTCAGGCTTTATTTCACCTCAGAAATGATTGGATGATACAGAAGATGCTATAAACTTGAGGGTGGGGAATGGACTGATGTTAGAGACTCATCCAGACTCTTTGGCTCACTAGATCTTAAACCAGTGTTTAGGATTTACATAGTACACCTGAGTAAGATGGGCTGAATTTGCCTAAGTTCGTGATGTAAAACTTATGCAAGCACCACCTTTTTAAAAAAGATGTAGTCCTGATCATCAGGTTATTTTCTAGTACACCCAAGTCACTTCTTTCTAGAGGAATACAGAAAGCATTGTTGTCCTCTGGATCCCAATCATTAACTTATTCCCTCTTTAGATATATTGAAAAATAAATACACCATTTATTTGAATTTGCTTGAATTGATAATTCACCATTTGCTTGAATTGATAATTGTGTCAACAAGGTTACTGAGGTGCTGTTGGGAAGGGAAGAAGAGAATAAAAAGAAAAAACAAGAATGAATGAGTTTAGAAGTTTTATGTTAGCTTCATGAAAAGGCGAGCAAAGCTTCTTTCTCTTTTTCACTCATTTGAACAACAAATTCCACATCCTGAGTTGGGGATTGAAGACTCCCTGCCACTGCTGCTGGTTGTGTACCATCTTCCATTGATTCCATGATGTTAACTAGAAATTAATGCTGGTAAATTGCAAGTCAAGTGAATCTCAAGTTCCTCCTTACTGTTTGAAAGTAAAGTCTGCCTGAAATTTAACTTGGCTCATGAGTGACAGAAGAACATGTCCATAGAATCACAGAGTTAGAAAGGCCCCAATTAGAATTATCAAATTCAGCCTTTTAGAAATGTAAATTAAAGCATCTCAAATTAATAGCTATTTATCTTCTACTTGAACTCAGCTAGTCAAAGGGGACTAGTTCTCTGAGTGATCAGTTTCAGTATCCAACTGTCCCCCTCTTGGAAAGCTTTTTCTAACATTCAATCAGTATTTAGCTTGTTGTAATTTAAATCAGTGTAGTTTTCTTGCCAGTAGTATAGAAATAGTTTGCTAGTTACAACCTCTGGATTTCTTTCAACTTTCTAAGAGCCTATTGCTCTGAAAGGTCTCCCTTAAAAGTAAGTATTATGGAGGCTTAACCCTACCCAGTTTCTGAACAGTCAGAATAAGTCAGCTGCTGCCATCTGCTGTTTTCCTTCTTCCCTTTCTCATTTCAGCAGCAGATGCAATTTATATTCTAGCAAGCTCCTCTTGTGTTTGGAGGCATTGATTTCAATTTGTTTTCAATTCATTTTTTTTTTTTGTATTAAATTGCCAAGATAGTTTGAATGCCACACCTTTCAGAGGTGCCATACCAGCATGGAACTCTCACTTGGTTCATTACTACATAACACTTAGGCACTATTGGAGTTAAAAGCACACACTTTATCTGGCACAAGGGAAACAGTAGGCCTTTTGGGCTTCTCAGTGCATTTGCTAATACTATAATTTCAAAAATCAATCCTTTTTGCAGCCATCCCATTAGCAGCCTTTTAGAAGGAATGTAAACTGCCAGAGAAATGAACACGAATACATGGGAACAAATGCACAAACAAGTGAGGACAGCAGGCCAATAATCTAGCCACTCCTGTTTTTTATGAAAGAAGAGGATTTGTTTAACCCATAAACATTGAAAGCGGAATGAGAAAACTATAGGTAGTCCTCGACTTACAACAGTTCATTTAGTGACCGTTCAAAGTTACTATGGCCTAAAAAAAGTGATATGACTGTTTTTCAATGTTATGAGCTTTGAAACACCCCCATTATTGTGTGATCAAAATTCAGATGCTTGGCATGACTGTTGCTGGGTCCTAAGGTCATGTGATCATCAATTGTAACCTGACAAAGTCAACGAGGAAAGAGATTCACTTAACAACCAGGTTACTAATTATCAACTGCAGTGATTCACTTAACAATTATGGCAAGGAAGGTTGTAAAATGGAGCAAAATTCACTTAACAAATGTCTCACTTAACAATAAACATTGAGGACTACCTGTATATTCGGTAGCACAAAAGTTTTTAAAAGCATTGGGAATAACTGGCAATGGAGAAGATAGTAGAGTGATAGACAGATTAATATGAATGCTCTTGGTTTCTGCAAGCCTCAATTGATGGTTTAGTTTTAAAATAATTGATGGTTAATTGATGGTTAAATTATATGGTTTAGTTTTAAAATAATAGGATGTGGATTTATATGGGCACAATGTGTGATGTAAATGATGATTTTTCCTTCAGAAATCTATTTTGCTCAATTCCTTTTACAACAGATCTTGCCGCCTTTGCCACTTTTGCCAGCTGCCAAATAGCTTCAGTGTTTCATTTTTAGGATACAAACATACCTGCTGCTTGTGCAGCATAAGCAGAATCTCAAGAATCTCAAGAATTTGAGTCAGCATTGGGAGCAGGGGAAGCATTGTGCAATTGACTAGATTCAAACTGAACAGATTCCCATTGTGAAATTGCCTAAAGAAGGAACCAAAAGGGAGGTAGAGATAGCCATGATTTCTGCTTCCCTCAGGAGACTGGTAAGCAAAAAGTGATTTATATCTCCTTTTTTTGCCCTAACTGCATCAAATGTGCAGGAGCCCAAAAAACAAATGATCAACTCTTTGCATGTTTACAAGTTGAAAACAGGACTAAAACTAAGAGTATGTCAGCAAATGGAATCTACAATTTGTGTGTTACTGATTGCTAAAAATGTCTCTTTGTTCTCTCACAGTTATGAGGTATCCCCAATAACCAGGTGGTCAAACCAGGAAGTATTGCATTCTTCTATTCGTCACGTATCTACTTGGGCAAAAACATGCCTTCAGAAGCGATGCAGCCATCATGCCTCCCAAAAGCAAGGGGTAGTAATGTAGATCCTGCCCAGGCTGTTGACTCCTTGTCCCTATCTGTCTGTGGTGCATTGTGTTCCCAGGGGATCCTTTTAAAAGACATAAAAAGTGCACAAGGGAGAATACAAGGGAAAAGATTCTTCCACTATCTAAAGATTCAAGACCGACGAACTGGGGTAATTCTCTCTGTGAGCATGTCTGAAGTTTAGTAATGAATTATTAATCAGCTTCTGTTCTGCGCTTAGCAGCAAGAGCTGGCTATAATGTATTTCCTTGCATTATTTATTTTTTCCTTTCTGGTTAAAGAGCTACTTTGCTATAAAAGAAAAAACGAGAAGAGAAAGTAAGCCTGTAATTACACACACACATACAAGCAAAGAAACTGATTCAAAGTCTATCCCGGACTAATGCCATAAGCCTTGAAAAGAGAAGCAAAAGACAGAAGCAACAGTCAAGACTTCCTTAATTAATGGTACATTCACTGCAAAAGATGTAATAATGCTCTACTTCTTCAAGCTGAACAAAGCTGGGGTTGTGCAGCAAATGCTTATTTTGTAAAAATTACAAAAAAAAAACCGGTACAAAGAAATTTGCAGGCAACAATTACAAATCAGAAATGTGATAAGAAGAGTGACATGCTCAGTAAAAGTGAGTTAGCAAAGAATGGCAATTCTAGAGAATGTGAGCCAATATTGGGAAACGTTAGTGGCTTAGCTGCAGCCGCTGCTTTGCATCTTTGACAAGTGACATTGATGCATTTTCAGGCCATGTCATGATTTCATTCCAAATCACCTTTAACGTCCAGCCTGCACTCTACTATGGCCTCGCCCAGTTCATTGATGGCCTTGCAGGTGTAGGTGGCGCTGTCAAAAGGACTTGGTTTACGGATATTGAGGGTCAACACTCCTTGGTTGTTTTTCTGCAGAAATTTGGGGTCCCCACTGAGATCCACTTTGTTCTTCATCCAGATTATCTTGGGCTGGGAATGCAAACAAGTGGGATAAAATAGAAAACAATCCAAATCAAATATCTTCACCGTCACACTCTATTTTAACCCAGGGCCATACATTGTATCATAAAATTTTATAATTCCAGAACAAACTATTTTGATTTGAAAACTGTATAAAAGTCAAATTAAAGGTTTTGATATGTGGATTCAGTATATTCAAGCTCCAATCTTATCCTCAAATTTTCTCGGTATCTCTTTGAATGGGATTGGACTTGATCAGATGTACATAAGAACCATTCCTAGATCACCTCTGCTGATTTTGTTCTTTCACATAAATCTGATGCACCCTATTTTAGCAGTGACATGTGATTTTAAGAAAAATCTACACAAATATTCCTATAACTGATATCTTAAAGTACATATTAGTATTTCATCCTCAGGATGAATTTCTTTGTCAAGTGTGATTTAATTTTTTAAAATGTTTTTCCTGACCCAAGAATATTAACCTATTCTGCAAACATGCA